ATTGGTAAATATATATATATTTTTAAATCACTAATATTAAGTGAGAATCAATTTTTAGCTGTGAAAATGAAACATTTTCCCGATGTAATAATTCAAAGAAGCAGGTCAGTTTTATTTTGAAAGTCTCCTAGTAAAGTAGAGACTAAATCCAAGTTAAAAGACGAAGTCAACTCTAAACACATTTTCTCTCCAAAATAACGAGACAATATTTCAGCACCAAAACAAGTGTTCAGTGAACTCCACTTCCAAACAGCAACAACGCCCTTCATCACTCTCTGTCATACTCCACTTTTTGAACTTTTTTACTGTAGGCAGAAGATTATTTAGCATTTTGATTTGGGGGGGAATCAATTTTACACATCAACATTTGTTTGTTAAATGAATTTCAAAATTCAGTCCCATGGTCAATCCACTGTGTCCTCCCACTTTCTCAAAGTATTAGATTAGATTACTGAAATGTATTTTATTTATTGGTTTATTTTGATTCCTTTTCCAATTTGAATGTTTTGTTGATGATTTACAAACTATAGTTTATGAAAATGTTGATTTATTCATTGCTTCATTTTGTTCCCAGTGCTGTGATGATTTGATTCTGTGAGTGACATGAACAAACATCACCGTCTGCACTTCTGAATTCCTCATATTCCATGACATGACCATTTTCATTGGTTTGGACTTTTACAAAAATAATGCCCTTTTCAAACATGTTTTTCCAAAAGAAAGAAGAAAAGAAACTATTCCAGTATTTGAATTGAACCATATGATCTGTTGTAAAAGGTCGTCTCTTTTTTCAGGTTTATCAAATTGGAAGCAGCACCATGAAGCAGACTTTCTTTTGTAACACTCGATATATTTACAATCAAACTGTCTGAGTATAAAAAGTGGGAGGGCATCTGTTGTAAGAAAGTATACAGTTTTTGTTGCCAGACTAAATGTTTCTTATCCTACAAAATACTTGTGCACCACTTTATATTTCAATCAAGTTTGGGACCATTGATGCTTTGAAGGACAAACATGAGGCAGTTTAAAGCCCCAATAATTAAAATCATGATCCAAAACTCCTCTTTGAATCTTTTCTGATCATAAGTTTTAAAGACGTTTTGTGATGGAGATGACAGTGACAAGAACAAATATAGAAATTGAGGAATGATAATAGAATTTACAATGATACTTTTCTATATAAGGGCAAACATTTCATTAGTTTTATTTATTTTTTATTTGTTTTCTCTGCATTTTCAACTGACAGTGTTTTTCTTTTCACAGTGACTCATTCTCTGATGTATTTTCACACTTCTTCAAATGATGTTCCAAACTTCCCAGAGTACATTTCTGTTGGTTATGTGAATGGCCTTCAGATCACTCATTATGACAGTAACACAAAGAGAACAGTGCCCAAACAGGAGTGGATGAAGAAGATCACAGAGGAGGATCCACAGTACTGGGACACACAGACTCAGATCAATTTGGGTGGTGAGCAGGTGATAAAAGGCAACACTGAAGTGGTGAAACAGCGCCTCAACCAGACTGAAGGTTTGTCTGATTTCACTTTTTACAGCTCATCTTGTTCAATTTCATGTTGTATGTGAAAAAACACATTTATATTGTTTATATTAGTGCTGTATTATATGGTCATTTATTTTCAGTCTGTTTTATTATTATTTCTCTTTCAGTTCCATTTAGTCCAGGAGAAAACACATCTGTTCAGCTCGTGCACTTTTATATAAGATTCATCATTTTAAAAATCACATTGAAAACATGACTAAACAACACATGTATTATAGTTTTATGTCCAACAACACAAAATGTCAAAATATGATGTGAAATAAAAACCTGTCATGTTTGTGTTTCAGGATCTCACATTCACCAGTGGATGTCCGGCTGTGAATGGGACGATGAGACCGGTGACATAAATGGATGGTATCAGTACGGTTTTGATGGAGAAGATTTTATCATCTTTGACCTGAAGACTGAGACTTTTGTGGCTCCAAGATCAGAGGCCGTCCCCTCCAAACACAAGTGGGAGAGTACTGGAGTGGCTGAGCGTTACAAAGACTATATCACCCGCCCTTGTGTTGAGTATCTGAAGAAACACGTGCGAAATGGAAATAGCACTCTTATGAGGAAAGGTAACATGTTTAAACTAATTACAACTTTACACAGATGAGAGGCTGTGCTGCAGAAATCTGATCAATACATAAAAAGGAATAATCTCTTTTTCACACAGTCATCTAGAGGAGGGTGAGCATATTCAAAATAAAATAGAAATTATATTTTATGTTTTGAAGAGATGTAAAAATTTAATATTGAGTATATTATCTATAATGTTTTATCACCAGGTTAATCAAAACAACTGGATTCACTAAGATTTGTTTCAATTAATTGCCTAAAATGATAAGAAAAACCATAATGAAGGTCAAATAATATTTGTTGAAACTAGTATTAGAAATGTTATATTTCACAAAGAAAGGATATAAAAAAACATTTCTGTAATTTTGTGTTTAATTTGACAGTTTTTCCTTTTCTCTGATCCAAAACTGTGTGTGGTCCTGCTCCAGAGCTCCCTCGGGTGTCCTTCCTGCAGAAGACTCCCTCGTCCCCGGTCACCTGCCACGCCACAGGCTTCTACCCCGACAGAGCCATGCTGTTCTGGACCAAAGACGGAGTGGAGCTGCACGAGGGCGTGGACCCCGGGGAGATCCTGCCCAATCACGACGGGACCTTCCAGATGAGTGTGGACCTGGACATGTCCCACCTGTCCTCTGTCCCACCTGAGGACTGGGGACACTTCGAGTGCATGTTCCAGTTGTCCGGAGTTCCAGACATGCCCACCAAGCTGCACCCAGACCTGATCATGACCAACGGTGAGCAGCTTTCTGTGGGACTAAAGAGAAATGAAATAACAGCAAATGTATTTAACACTAATTGTTAAATGGGAAATGTGTTGTGACAAGGGAAAGGCAATATATCCGGCGATATATAGGTTCCAGTATCAATATCGGCTGATATCGATACACAATGCTGATATTTGATAACTGGTATTTTTGCACTGCCATATTCTCTGTGTACTTTTTTAACAAATGAGTCTAAATGGAAATAAAAGAACATACAGCCATAAACATATGGCTTTATATTTACACAAATGCAACAAATTATTTTATAGTGCAGATAAAAACATATCGTTATTATTTTTACAGATCTGAACTGTACATTTGTAAGCTTTACTTTACTGAAGATAAATGTGTGGGTCTTAATATTATCAGGCTAAATATATCGGTATCGGCTGAAAAAGGAAAAAAAAAATCTGTATCGTCCCATCCCTAGTTATCACTACATACTTAACTTCACTGGGGATGTCACAATAGCAAATTTTTGAGCTTTGGGAAAGATGTTTTAGACAGATTTAGATAATATGAAAAATACAGTATTAACAAACATTTTCTTTCACTGACATTGTGTAAACCACAAACACACCTTTAGTGTGTGACCAGCTTTATGAAATCAAAGTGAATGAAATTAATGTGACATAAACAGCTAGATTAAAAGAAACATTACATTAAAAATCATCTTCATACTCACCAAATAATCTTGACATCCTTAAACTCGATATTGAACTTATTTTATTTTTTTGTTTTAACAGCAAAGAACACAGCAGATATTGCAGTTACAGTTGGAGTTGCAGTGGTCGTTCTTGGAGCATTTCTTTTTGCTGCTGTTGGGTTTGGTGTGTACAAATGGTGTAAAGGTAAGAGGAATTGTGTATAGATGAAAACTGTTTTAAAATAGGACACAACTGAAAAAAGTAACAAAAAATCACCTTCTTCTGTTTCAGCCAAACAGCTCACACCTCGTAAGTAAACATTTTTACTGTTTTCCATCTACTGCACATTGATAAGACATAATACACATCATCTCATCTGTGCACGACTGACACAGAAATGTTAATGAAAGTATTTTAAACTTACGTCTCTTATGTCATTTCAGCTCCCAGTGAACCAGTGTCAGTGAAGAAGCAGTGAAGAAAGAATTGGTAAGAAGAATTGATGGGAGGTAAGAAAATTATAAACTCACATTTGATCAGAGTAGCTGATTCTGCAAACAGATTATGTCACCAGTGTGTCCCAAACCAGAGATTTGATTTATTCTTGGACCCAAAAAGTAAAAGTAAATGTATTCGCTTCTATAACTGTGTGTGTTGTACAGTCACAGGGACCTGCTGTAGTTCTCCACGAGGAAAAACATGTATATTTGTCTTCCAACAGGATTATTATTATAAGTAATTTTTTTTTTTTCTTTTTGCAGTCTCAACACAAAAGGAGGAGGCTGAACAAGAAAAGGAAGAGGCTGAACCTCTTGATCCTAAACCAGAGTGATGTGAGCCGTTTGAGAGATGAGCTCTTGTAATGATCCTAATGATTTTATGAACAGCATTTGGTTTGATTTTAAGATCTTTTCTAGTTTTACTGTAGTTTGTTTGACAAGAGTAAAACTTTAGCGTGAACACTGAATCATATCATCGACTTTGAAATAAGCCTTTAAGATGCACTCCTTAAATCACAAGTTTTTTTCTAGTTGAATCTGCATTGAAGAGTTGTCATGTCATGTCTTTCATTCTGTGTGTTCTGAAAAACTATTTGAACAAGCTTTATGTTAGTAAGTATAGCTAATAATCAGATTAATCTCCATTTATATAAAAAAAAAAATACAGGATAGTGAGCTTCCAGGAGTAACAAATGATAGAAAAAAAAAAAAAAAAAAATCAGAAATTGTAATATAATATGAAAAGACAGACTTACTGCTCAAATTGATTCAGAAATAAATAAAGAATGTTTGGAAAATAAATAAATACATGATCATGTTTTGGGCCATATTTATATCTCTGGTAGTGCCGGGAAATACATTTGTCATTCATCACTTCTCGATCAATATAATCAATGGTTCTGTTTAATTTAATTGTAAATATGCCACAGTACATGAAGTTGTATTTTTTGCTACAAAAGTTAATTCTGTTATTTCCTTAAATCCACGTTCCAGTTGTGTAAATAGATTGGTTTGGGCTTTGATATAGAGGTGGGGTATTTATAATATATTTTTAAGCTGTGGGGTTGTTTTTAATTTGCTTTAAGAAATACTTTGACTAATGTGATCTCTTTTTCTTTGCTGTAAATAAAAATCTATCAAAATAAGTTGAAATTGTATTTTTCTACATTTTAGCATGTGTTGTGATGAGGTGGTGCAGCCAGACTAAAGTGGAAGGTTAATGGTTCAATTTTTGTTAACATCTGGCAAGGCACAACATCTACATTAATGTCCTAAATGTCTGACAGACTAAGTGTCTCAAAAAGCATTATTACTACTTAAACTATTATTACTACTACATACAAAATCATCCAACTGCCTGGTCTACATTCTGTTGTAAAGTTTTATCAAAGTGTGTGGTTCTGGTTGGCCAGGTAACAAAATTTACACCAACAAAACTCACCTTTTGTTCCCATAAAAAGTTGCATTATCAAAATAGCTTAAGGTATATCACAAAAGAAAGGTTTAGTAAATTAGTAATATGTTTTAATTAAGTACATTGGTTAAAATGTGTCCTTCCACAAGAGGTCTTATTGCTTCCATGGTTTGTCACATTAAAGCAAACTTTCTGAGAGACTTGACTTTCAGTTTCATTCAAGTCACAAAACCAGACTTGGACTTTGCCTGGGACTTTTCCAGTATCTTCTGTGAACTGTGCAGTGACGCTGGCCGGAGCTGAGACCACTTTAACCCCTGAAACACAAAAATAATTAATGTTTTCTCTTTCTCTAACTAAGATTTGCTAAATCTCAAAAGCACGACCAATCTGAGTAAACAAAATATATATCTGTTCGTATATCAATTTTTACTATTGAAGTCAGCATCAGAGTCAACTTTGTGAACAGATTAAAGCCTTGTTTTGATTTATTTTTATGACATGACCACTATATAGGCAGAAAACCAATCACTAGTGTGGCCAATATGTATTCATGCTTTGCTCTTTTAAGACAAATCTACAAAAACAATGTCTTGTCGAATCTAAAAAATACATACTTTTGGTTTCGTTTTTTTAATATTTTAATCCAGGTCATTCATCTTGTCAGTAAAGCTGCTGTAGTATAGCTCTTTGGCGGCCTCTAGAGGAGATACTGAGAACTGCAGTTTTGTCAAGTTTTAAAGGTCCCATATTATGCCATTTTCTAATATGTTATAATGTTGTTTCCTCATCAAAAACACACCTAATTTTGTGTTTTGTTTCATTCACACACACATTTAGACGGAGTTCTTCTCTCAAACAAAAATCTCTGAAACAAGAAGTGCTCCACTGTGTTTTTAAAGTCCCTACACCTTCACTAGAATAATTTGAACAGTTTTAGCCCTGGAATTGCCAATCTCTACAGAACAAAAGATGAAACGTAGCTATTAACTTGAAAACTACCGCTTCATGACATCACAAGGTGGAACAGAGCATTTTGAGCTTTGGAGATGTAGACAGACTAATAAGGTGGAAGTAAAGTTACCTAAACATGACGCACTCCAGGTATGTTTTGAGGTATGAGCTGACATTATAACATGGTTAAAAGTCAGTTTTGTGTAATATAGGACCTTTAATCATTACACATTTTTTTCAGTAACAATGTAGGCTGTATTAAATTATGCTTCATCATTGTATTTTCATTGTTTATGCTACATTTTACTTGATTCACATTTACATTTACTTAAAAAATATTCATTTTTAGTGTTTCTTGCCCACCTCGATGCTTCTCAATTTCAGCCAAGCAGACCGACAGCATCCAAAGTCGCGGCGTTATCAGCGCGTTTAATCCACAAAGAGCAGAGACGACCCGCCATAGAGAGAAGTCACAGGAGGAGCAAGGCATCATGGGAAATCTGGGCAATGAGAGTGTAACTTGCTTTGGATCCAAATGTACATCTGTGGAAAATGGAACACGTGTGTTAACTTAACCCGCAAAATGTATTTATTTAAAGTACAGATTTAATGTTTTACTAATTATTTCTTGGTTTGGTGGGATTATTTATTTATTTATTTTATGCATTTATTTTGGGCAAGTAAAGATTTACATTTATATACAATGGAACATATAACATAAGTGAAATCATAATAGAAATGAAAATAACAACAACAAAAAATTAACTATTAACTATATTTCTATTTTGCCCAAAAAAGAGTGAGAAGAAGAAAATTTATTTAATCCCACCCCTTGGATTGAACCTGTGGTAATTATTTTTCAAAGTTTTACATGAGTGAAGTGACAGTTTGTGGAAAAAAGTTAAGAAGAAAAGTACAAAAACACAGGAAGTAGCACTGAATACTGAATTTTCTGGCTGTTAAAACTTTCATTTAAGTTTGTGACATTTATTGTTTTAAGTCTGGTCGTAAATAGTGAAATTTAGAGAAGTTTTGTCCCTAGTTAACATTATAGTTGGCAAGTAACAGTTATAGAAGTATCTGCTGCTGGACTAAAACCAGTAAGTTAAATAATAAACTTCACTATTAAAAATATATATAAGCAAAGTAATTATGTTAACCATGTTTTAGTAAAAAGAGTACTCTAACCTGTCATATCTACATTAACTATTAGCATTAAGAGACTAGAATAAATCAAACCCACCCTCACTTCCGCTCACAGATACAGCTGTAGTGTCTCCATGTGTCTTGTTCTTGGACAGTAGAGTCAGGACGCTCTCCCAGACCAGGGACTGCTCTCGGGACATAGCAGAGAGACTGATGTCCACCTCCTCCCCTCCACTCACAGCTCTGTAGACCAAAACTGAGGCCCGCACCCGAAATGGTCCCTTCTTTAACTCGTCGACGGGCTGTAGAGTTCGTAAAGACTGGCGTACCCGGATAAGACCTGCAACAAAATGGATGATATTGTAGAACTATGCTTACTTCATTGTCTGAATTTCACAAAAACAGAAATACTGTGATCTTGGTGAATCATGATACACCCACAATTTATAAAAGTATTTTTTGGAGGATGGCTGTTTTTCATTTTGGGCGTCTATGAGTGAACTGTAACTTAGCATTTCTGATTAAGTATTACATTTACAGTTTTATAGTTACAAATTGACTTCTTTGCCATTGTTCTAATATAATGATAATGTAACTTTCTATCTGTTGGAGTACATTGATCACCCCCAAGTCCACAAGTAGAAACTGAACAAGTAAGATGTGAGCAATTAAAATGATCATTGCTAAGGTTAGAAGGTGATAGTACTCGAGACTGGTCTTGGTCTTGAGATCGGCCTTGAGACAGCTTTTTTACAGTCTTAGTTTCGTTTCAGCCTCGAGCACATTTTGACTCAGTCTTGTCTTGGTCTTGATGGAGCTTGGTCTTGGTCTTGTCTCGGACTTGAGGTCTGACACTCAACAAGTGCGATTGTATTTCATGATGGCCAGTAAATGTGCAGAGGCTGCTCAATATCACTGCAAAACCAGTAAGATAATGTAAGTGTAAATGTTAGGAACTTGAAAAAAGCCACTTGATTCACTTTGAAGCAGTTTTCTGTAAAGTGGGATTAAAGAAGGGGTTCTCAAACTGTAGGTCAGGGTCCAAAATGGGGCGCAGAGTGTTTAAGTGCAGTACAGTTTGCTTGGCTTATTTTATGCCTAAATGAACATTAATCAGATCAATTGGAGATAGATGTATAAAAACATTGATATAAATGTGCCAAAACAACAGCAAAATACAAATACATGTAGGAAATGACAAACATGGTCTTGTTTTGGTCTTGATGGGCCATGGTCTCCGCCTTGTCTCGGTCTCTGCCTTTAAAAGTCTTGGTCTTGTCTCGGTCTTGTCCTCGTTTTGGGACCCTGTGGTCTCGGACTCGGTCTTGGTCTTGATTAGTTCAGTCTTGACTACAACACTGTTAGAAGGTAGCTTGTTGGAAAACCATTAGCTCTTTTTCTTTTTAAATAATTTAAGCGAAATAAAAATCAAATTAGAGAAAAGATCAATCATGTTACTAGTAATTAGTAAATAGTAGTAGTTGCAGTAGCACCAATTCCACTAGGCTGTAGATCTTAATGTCTCTATGGCTATGTACCTGTATCCCCACAATTCTTTGCAGTTTGACAATGCTTTCCCAAACAACATTGAGCCCGATATGTTTAAGATAAGAGATCATTACAGATCATTTTACCTGCAGGGCTGAGTTTGAAGTTTTTGTCAGTCAGGATCATCAGCAGCAGTTTGAAGCACATGGTCTCAGGGAAACACAGAGGAATGTCTCTGTATTCAGTGTCGGGATAGTCCCAGCCATAGCCAGCCACAGAGCAGAACCTCCTCAACAAGTGCATGTCCAGCCTAAAAAAACATCATGGGCTTTAGAAACACACCCAGAGATCTAAAGGACATGAAACCCAGAACAAATCACGACTAAACCAGGAAAAGCATCTAATGAACCAGTGTTGTCTACATATGTCACAATAAAACATTTTGAAGTGTGATATATTGTTGAAGTCAGTATAGTTGATAAATAATAATATTAGACTTAGACAAACTTTATTCATCCACAAGGGAAATTATTTAGACACAGTAGCTCACACATCACAATAATATAATAACAAAGAGCAAAAATATAAATGCTAAAATAAATTCTAAATAAGTAGCAAAAAAAAGACAGGTGTCAAATAAGACATAATTATATAAATGTAAATGTACAAGTAAAAATAAAACAGAAAGATAAGTAATAAAATGTAAAAAACAAACCATAAAACAGAATTATCCCCCAAAATCTATTGTAAATATACAATTGTTAAAAGATAAAAAAACGTGAGATTTAAGTAGCTCATAATTCAACCCTCTACAATCCAATCTTATAGACTTATTATCAACTACTACAAAGAAAAATTACCCAAGATAAACAGTGACCCCCCAAAAATATTCTTCCATCTATTATGTATTTCCATTTAAGTCGATATAATAATTATTGTCACCCAATTCTCGAAATGGACACTGCACTGAAGATGCTCCTTTTTTAGTAATAAAAAGTAGCCTCCTATACAGGATAATAATACTTTCTTTATCTTAGCATGATGTCTTCTATCCATTCTGATAAAGTTCAAAATCATACTAAAACTGTTCAGGAAAGCTCAGTATTTGCAGTATCAATACTTGCTCAAATGAGTAAACTCTTGAATGATCTGTTCATAGGAGGATAAGTTTTGCAACAGACTATCAGCTCTCTTTTGGGTGCTGCAGAGGAGTCCAGTGGATGGCTCTGAATTAAGAGAAGGAATGGTAATTGGGTCTGTAAACAGCAGTAGAAGAGCTAAGGGAGGTCCTACTTAGACTTAGACTTAGACAAACTTTATTGATCCACAAGGGAAATTATTCAGGTCCTGCCCGTGAGCGCTCTGGAGGTGTTGTGGGTTAAGAATTGAAATTGTACTATGTAGTCCTTTTGTCAGAGCTATTTTCTTTTAGTAATGATACTTTTTACAACCCTATAATCAGTGTTGGGAAGGTTACTTTTAAAATGTATTCCCCTACAGATTACAGATTACATACACCAAAATGTAGTTTGTAACGTAATCCATTAAATTACTTACAGTGAGTAACGTAATCTGAATACTTTGGATTACTTGATTTGCTGTAAAGTAGCAAAGACGAGGAAATCTTAACGTAAGATGTTTTATCTGCTCAAAGAAAATAAAAAGCCCAGTCTTTCCTTAACCGTATTAAAAATATTATTGATAAAAGAGGAGGAGACACGGTCCACGCAGCATGATTTAGTCCTGTTAAATCCTGTTTTAGACCTGGTTTAGACCTGGTATTCGTCCTGGTTTAGACCTGGTTTAGACCGGGTTTTAATCCTGGTTTAGTTCTGGTTTAGTCCTGGTTTAGACCTGGTTCTAGTCCTGGTTTTAGTCCTGGTTTTAGTCCTGGTTTTAGTCCTGGTTTAGTTCTGGTTCTAGTCCTGGTTCTAGTCCTGGTTTAGTCCTGGTTTAGATCTAGTTTAGACCTGGTTTTAGACCTGGTTTAGACCTGGTTTGACCTGGTTTTAGACCTTGTTTAGACCTGTTTTAGACCTGGTTTTAGACCTGGTTTTAGACCTGGTTTTAGACCTGGTTTAGACCTGGTTTAGTGTCCGGCAAAAAGAGAAAAGGGGGATTTAGCCCAAAATGTAAAAACAGGAAAATACCGCTGTGTAATCCACTTACTTCAACAAAGTAACTGTAATCCAATTATCACTCACTGAAACAGTAACTGTAACCGAATACAGTTACTAATAAATTGTACTCTGATTACATAACTCCGGTACATGTAATCTGTTACTCCCCAACACTGTCTATATAATAAACTGTTAAGTTTCCATTTGTGTGGATTATGTGGCTGGAGTTGGTCCAGCAGGGGTCTAAGAATGGAAATTAGTTTTGGCTACAGTCCTGCATACTTATAAGTACATGTGTTTTCTTTTGCATTATCTTGTCTTTGAATATGCATTCTCCTTTAATAAATAAATACAAATACAATACTATTACGCTCCACCTATCATGTGTTGTTGTTGTTGTTGTCATACTACAATATTCCTCCTCATTATCACAGGTATTTTATTGATTACTTAATAGTGGGAATGGCCATATAATTTTGGTTTTAAAGTGGGATAAAGATGCACTACGTAGCTTTTCTGATGGAGATTACCACTTACATTACACATTATGGCATTAAACTCGTCTACCTCCATGGGGACAAGTGGCACCACCAGGCCAAGTTTAGAGGTCACAAGGTCTGATCTGAGGAGGATGCATGTGGTTTAAGTGGATAATTAAATAAAGAGAGAAGAGTTTAAAATGTCATACTGCGGAACATTCCAGACAAAGCAGTAACATATCCATGAAGACAAGCAACCTCCACAAGAAAATAGAGCATCTTTATAATTAAAAAATAAAATCCAAAATACTGAAAGGCGTGAGGATTTGGATACTCACCTGCAGTCGTGCACAGTGTACTCCAGTGACGTCTCCTGCGTGCGTGAGCCCACTGTGCCACTCAAACACCGGGCCAAATATCGGATCAAAAGGTAAACTAAACTCGGTTGTCTGTTACTATGAAGCTCTTTTGTTTTTAATAAACAATACGAAGAGTAAATCTTGGCATACAGTAAGTAGAGCGTGCACACGGAGAGCGAAGCAACCACGTGACTCTGCGTGTTCCCCATCATTACACAAATTATAATTAAGAGTTATTATAACGCAAATACAGAGTGAAAACTAAAACAGCACGCCCAAGTTTGTAAACACTTTTTCTTCAGATTGCTTATGACTCCAAAGCGCACTACTGCCTCCTTGTGGTTAATAAACTGTTGAGAGATGAGGACATGCGTGGAGATAAGTGTTAAAAGTGACTATTTCAGCACAACTATGTGTTTCAAGATAGCCAAATGAGCACAGTAAGTAGATTTTAAAAAAAATATTTTCATAGACATAGAATAGGTACGTCGCTATATTTAATATAAACTGTCAACAACTGTCAAAATGTTTGTGATCCATCGTCAAAACCTTCAGCTCAGGCTCCTCTGCCTCTCTCCAGCCGAAGGGGACGTAGCCATGGATCTATTAAAATAACGTAAGAAATAATAATAATAATAATAATAATAATAATAATAATAATAATAATAATAATAATAATAATAATAGCATAGACGTACATATATAATCAACTAATAATATATTATGTAATATAATAATAATAATAATAATAATAATAATAATAATAATAATAATAATAATAATAATAATAATAATAGAGGAGCGCGTATTTCACAGTTCAACTTTTTATTATTTGACTACATGTCGTTCTTGAATCATATATTCACTTAACATAATGCGTGCATACGTCATACGTCACACATCACCTCAAGGAAGCTGAACCAATCAAACCATTAGAAAATAACATTAATAAGAGCGTTATTTTACAATTGTATTCAACATAAACATCAAAATCAACCCTACACCTCACAATATATGAAATTTAAATTAGACAAAAATAAAAGCACACAAAACTCGCGGGCTGATATCCACGAGGGGGCTAATTACTCAGTTGGCTTCAGATTTCCTTTTTCACATACTAAATAAAAAAAAAAAAAAAAACGAACAAATGTTTACATTAAGAATCCTATTACAGTTTTATCTGATTTATTCTGATCTTACTGGAGATCTTCATGTGTCTGCAGCCAGACCCTCTTGCTGCAGTGCGCTGATGTCAGGGTGCGCAGTTTCGGATGGAACTTTTTATTATACTTTATTCCACATGTGTTTGACCACCAGGTGGCGCAAAGTAAAATACAAAGAGAAACACTAAATTAAATACATATAAATAATTGGGACCGTTACAGGGGAGTTTGTGCAGGGTGGAGAAGAGCTGAAGTAGAACATCACCAGGTGACCTTATGGATCTATTAAAACAGGACCTACCTATGCTATGTTTTACCAAGGCCCTTTCATGCTATTTATGAAGCTATATGGGGTTCTGTTTGTGCCAAAAATGAGGTGGTGGACTTTTCAAAGGTTAAATGTATGGCGTTGTGAATATCCACTTTTTGTGTTTATGTCAATACCTTTTAAATCAATTAATACTCCATACTATATAGCTATGTCACAGCTGTTGTCACAGTTTTGTCTCATATATATGTAGAGGTCACACCACATATAGCAGCAATTGTAGGCCTATACTGTATTTTCCCTCAAATTAAAGGGGAGCTCTATTTAAAGGGGTTTGATAATTTTCCAAATATTGGTCATCTCAGCATTGTATATACTATAAAATTTTCAAACACTATCTTGCCTTTTTTTTTTTTAAATCTATTACCAGAAAACGTTTCCAAAATATTCATGATCACGAAATAGTTGAGGTGGCCAGAAGAGGGCAGCAGAGGGTCAAAGGGTTACGCCCTAACAAAGCAGCGTTATAGTTCTTGTAGAATAGAGGATATGACAAATAAATATAATTATAATTGATGAATGTATATATTTTTTTCAAATGAATTAATGTCTACAATTTTTTTTCTTTTTTCAGAAAGTTTGCAGTTGAAGACTCACCCAGTAGTTGGTGATTTGGACAGTGGAGCAGCAATGACTACTGCCAGATATTCACAAGGTTAACTCCCTTTCAGATATTGTACACTTTTCTCATTGTAGATTTTACAGTAACTCAATTTTACTTGCAAAAAGTGTAAATGGAAAAGGGTCTGTTGCCTGTGTTGTCTATAAATTGGTTCTAAATCCACACTGAAAGCTTAAAAGGGACATGTCCTTTAAACCATGTTATAACAGTGTTCCCTCAGAATGTCAATAGCTTTTAAATCAATTAATACTCCATACTATGCGGTATTACATTATTTTTATCCAGCAATGTACCAAAATGGATAGTAGTCATAATTTGTGGTTATTAGTTAAAGTTATCATTTAATAAAAATACATATATAGGGATTTTTTTTTACAGTCTCAGCCAGGTATTACATAACTTTCCATCTCCATAGAATGCACCACCATAAACGTAATAAGATGAGGCGCTAAACAGTATCATTTGGTATGTGATCCAATAGATAACTTTCTTTAAACAATGCTATTTTTATACAACTTTCTTTGAATCCAGCTTGCTAGTGTCATCATCCATCTGTATGTATTCTAGGCAGCTCTCTTGGCAGCAGATGGCGCTCTTACCTCAGCTTTGCACTGCTGTAAATCCACGGTGGGCCTGCTCTGGGGGTTGACAGAAGTCTTATGTTATAAATACTTAATGCTTTACCACTGTAGAAGCAGCGCCAACCAAATACAACAGCTCAATAGTGTCCGCTGCTCTTGTGGTGTTGGCTTTCTGTACGTGATTAATGTGATCTATAAGGCTGCGGCAACAACACTGTCTGACAGGGAAATGACACTTATGGGCTCTATACATCACCAATAGTAGCAAAAATAATGTTTCACTTTTTTATTTTACAAAAGCTTTCCATTAGAGGCAGCAATAAAGTTTTCTTATTTTTCTATAGACCTGTATGAAATTGTAGGTATATACATTGCTAGAGGCCCAGATGTTCCCATATGTGAGTAGCCTACAAAATGTAAGTATAAAGGCATCCCTTTAACTTCTTGGGTTCTTCTTTAAAGACAGTAGAGTAAAGTGTATTTACCTTGTTGACATGTTTCGGCTGCTAGCTGCAAGCCATCTTCAGAAAGTTAAAGTAAATAAGAAGATTAAATGAACATCTTTGGTTTAACACTGAAGAACCCAAGATGTTAAAGTACATAAGAAGACAAAATGAACATCTTTGGTGTGATATACATCCCTGTTAAGAAATTTTTGCATAGGCTATTAGGAGTCATTGCACCAGATCATTTTATATTACAAGCCTTTTATGAATATGTTTTATGTATGAATATGTAACATTTCTAGTGGGAGGGTCTTTCACCTGATTGCCTCCATGGAAAATATTGTTATTGCTTTGTCTAGAATGTTCCACAGTATAAATTAAAGGGACAGTCCGGAAATTTTAGGTATAGGGCCTCATTTCCTAGTTGGCCAAAGTGTTGGAGACGTGTGGAGACACTTTTTAAAATATTCGTTCTTGTATTTGCAGAGTTCGCTGGTGCTAGGCTAGTGCATGTCAATGGCCATAGTTATCCTGCCACTAAAAACAGTCTTACCCACTCCACAAAACACCTGAAGAAAATCTATTATTACACCAGACTGTCGATGTGCATATCTGTGTTTGATAAAGAATAATGTTTGAAATAAAACTAACCTTACATCGCATGAATCGTCGCATGTTGAGGAACTATTTTCTCACATATAGTCCACCACTGCCAACCTTTCTATCAGGAAGTACAAATCGCTGCTGCTGCTCAGACATAAATTCTTCAAATGCAAGGTTGGTTTTACTTCTAAAATTATTCTATGAACACAGACATTCACATTGACAGTCTGGTGTAATAATAGTTTTGCTTCGGGTGCTTTGTGGAGTGGGTAAGACTGTTTTTAGTGACAGGCTAACTATGACCATTGAAATGCACTAGCCTAGCACCAACGACCTCTGTAAATACAAGGACTGGATGGAATATTTTAAAAAGTGTCTCCACACGTCTCCAACACTTTGGCTCACTAGGAAATGAGGCCGTATGTCCAAAATTCCGAACTGTCCCTTTACAGGTTACAGCACTATGCTACATTACAATCCAGATCCGTGGAGAGTCGCCCCTACTCACAGAAGGAATTATTGTGTTTTTGAGCAATAGAAACACCCGTAATGAATAAATGATAGATGGATATGTTAATGTCATACCATGGAACATTCCAAGGAAAGCAATAACATCTCCATGGAGACAAGCAGGTAACGGACCCTTCACCGGGACAGCTGAGCCTTTAAGTTCAACTGCAGTTCATTATAATACACGAGTTATAGGGTGGAACTATTTAGTTGTAAAATATCAACACCACTTTTTACTTCATGGCTTTACTTGGTGACTACTTACTGCTTTAATTCTGTAGGCAAAATATTACCTTTTGTAATATTACACATATTTTCCTCCAGTATCTCCCCTTTTCATGTGCACACGCCCACTGTTCTTTATATGACTGCAGTGCTCCTGACTTTAGCGTTTGTGGGGGCATCTTACCCTTGGTGCAGTGTGCATCAGGCTTGGACACTCAGCATTATCCACACGCGCTACGCTAGTGTCATGCGGTACACCCCTACCCTTATCCGGCTCAGTTACACACATACACATACGCACACATAATTGTTCGCAAACGGGCCGGGTCAGACACATTTTTGGCTGAGTCTTGGCTGCTCCTCTCCAGAACTGCGGGGGTGTGGGACATCTGCAATGCAGGAGTCTAAATATAGCGCAGGAATAAGAGGGGGACCGGGGGAGACAGAGAGGGTAGGATGGATGAGAGAGGACGAGAAAGACAAATGATAAACCAAATCTTCATATGAATAACATGTACTGCAATATAAGAGTATTTACCTACAGCAGGCTGGTGAATAGACATATTACAGTAAAACACTTTTCTTAGCAAGTTTTGTCCCATGTTATATGTATGTAGAGGTCACACTACATATAGCAGAAATTGTAGGCCTTTATTTTCCCTCAGATTAAAGGGGAGCTCTATTTAAAGAGGTCTGATCATTTTCAAAATTTTGGTCACCCCAACATTGCATATACTATCAACTTTTAAAACACTATTTTTCCTTTTTTATCTATTACCAGAAAACATTTACAAGATATTCGTGATCAGTAAATAGTTGAGGAG